TCACAAGACCAACTGGGGAGGCCTGGTGGGCCTGATTAGGTGCAGTGTAGTGGTTAGTGTGTCAGACTTGGAAGTGGAGAAAAACTTAAGAACCCAGCAGTGAAAAATTCACTGAGTGGTTGTGAGCCAGTCACCACCTCTCAGACTACCTTACCTCACAAGGTTGTTGTAAGGATAAAATTGCAAGTTGGCAGGGGAGGAGGGGAATCAAACACATTATTTCTGTCATAAGTCCTGTGCAGCAGTCAAAGAATCTCTGTAGTTCACTCACACTGTTGCTGGCAAGGTTGTCAGAGTCATTGCACTGCTAGAACTTGCCAGCTCCACCGTGACTCAGAATGAACAGGAACCGAAGTGTGTTTCTACCTTTGTAAAATGCAGCCTAAAAATCTGTAACCATTGATGGTCTACATCAAAATTCATCTTGATTCTACAAAGATGATTATGATCTTTACACAACTGCAAATATTGTGGAAATCTGCAATATGTGAAGTAATACAACATGGTTAATACTTAATGGTCACAAATGTGTTCTATTGCAAGAAGAAGGAAATTGTCCTACACTCAAAGGTTAATTAACTGGAGAGATGACTTTCCTGCACAGAAAGCAACGTTTGTCCTTAGGGGGAAACTTGTCAGACATTCACCCATCTGTGACTTTCCCCCCTTTAATGTTGCTGCAGGATGCAAACTTCACTTGAAGTTTATGACAAATGCATTATGCTTTTTGATCAAGCTGATGGTTTTTAGTATCACTGTATTTGTTTTCCCCCATCTCTGGAGTTCATTACCCGTGTCTGTGGATTTGGAAATGTCTGCCATCGAAAATCCCTTCTCTGTTCAATTCCCAACCCCAATCAAATTCCATTTTAGCTCAAAAGACTTTCCAAGCATTAGAGAAAGCTTCAACACAACAATGAGAGCGGCAACGTCATTAAGTCATGCCACTGCAGTCTCCTTTTTTTGTGCCTCGGTACTTATGCTCAACCGAAACTGGTTTGTTTCTTATTCTGACTAGGCTGCAGATCTGACCATAGGCTGCTTCAACCCTGTTGAATTCAAAGGGTTGTCTCCAACTTCAGCCATACTCAGATGGCTAAGAGACCTGTGCACTCTAAGCCTTGAAGGATAAATAACTACCGCTTATTACACAGTTGTCTGAGAACCTTACCACCTTGGCTACATTAAAGCATATTACATATGGGCATCAATATTGCGTGGATACCTACTCGGACATATGGAGGGCTTATAATGTATGTTTAATTTTAATACTTGTGTGCTGAAGGCCAATGTATCCGCAGTGTGAGCTGGTGACGGTCTACCCATATTATCAGCATTGTTTGTATATTATTATTTTGTTTCTTTCCATTTCTCTCTCTCCTTTAATTATATTTTATCTTTTATCCTTTTCCTTGTTAAATTTGCAAATACAATATATATATATAAAAATATCAACAAGAAGAAAACCCAGTACAATACTTACATTGAAATAAGCCCCAATGACCACAGGGAGACTTCCTTCTGAGTAAACATGCCTAGGATTGGGCTGCATGTCAATATTGATATTAAATTTGAAAGCTTAGCAATGACACTCGTCAGGACAATATCTGAGAACAAATAATCTAGGCATCATCATCTAATACCTCCATGATTTCCCATTCCAGAGACCATGAATGATTACTTAACCCAAATAAGAGGAATAGTTGTTGCTTCACATCACAGAGTACTGTACAAATAAAATGCTTGACGTTTTATTATGTTTTTATATTTTGCTGGAAGCTGACCAGAGTATCTGGGGAAAACCAGCCAGATGGGCAGGGTATAAATAATAAAATTATTATTAGTAGTAACCTCATCTACTTACATTTTAGCCTGGGAGACTACGATCTCATTCTCAGCATCATGAATGGTTTCATCTTTCTTGATTCGGCACCAAGTATTTTTGACCCGCACTAGCTGGAAGTCTGTTTGCTTGGAACCCTGTGTTCCAGATTTCCTATCAGCCAAGAAGATCTCTTTGGACTGTGGCATGGTTGCAATGTCTAGTTCAAGAGGTGTCTGGTAAGAGGGGGACTTGCTGTTTGCTTATAAAAGCTCCACGGGGACCATTGTTTGGAATGGGAGGTGTTCCTCACCTGGTGGAGTGAAAAGGTTGGGCTGGGGGGGGGGAATTACAAAACTATCATTACTTAATCTCTACACATGAAAGAGGGGTGGTCACATCACCCAGACCTGCGTGCTCACGTGTGCATACACACACGTACAGTGAAAATGCAGAGCCTAGGGTTGTATAACTCAATAGTTTTATAATGATCAAAAAGTACAATTAGAGTGCACTTAACTTCTAACAGGAGGCCCTGCAACGAAACGGCAGTGATTAATGTTGAATCATTTCTATGCCATAAAAAGGAGGATTCCAGGAATTTATCTCAACTTCCTGACCCTTTTGATTATAACACAACTTTATGTAAGCCTTGATGGTATTTGAGATAGAGCCACATAATATTGTTAGAACTGGATACTAAGGCCCTGATGAATTGTGTGTTTTATATTTGTTTTTATGGGCTTCTGTGCTCCTGTTTTGTTGGTTTTATGTTGTGTTTTTTAAACATATCATTTGTTTTATGTTGTGCACTTCTAGAGATTTTTTTTTAAAAAAATATGAAGCTGTATGTAAATGCAGTACATAAAATAAATGCATGAGACCATCTTCAAGACAATTCTCAATCTCTGTTTTCTCCTCATCTCTGTCACATTTGTAGCTCATTTGTCCTTAGTGCAGCCAGGAGTAATACACCTCTGCCTCCCCCACCTCATTTTATTGATGTAACAGCCCAATGAAATAAACATGGCTGAAACTAATTGCCTCAAGGTCATGCAAGGTCATGTCTAAGCAGTGATTTGAGGGCAGGTCTTCCCATCCAAATTGCAGCACTATCCACTATGTTATACTGTCACACAGCTGCTGATGCCACGTTGTCTTCTAGTCCAAAGCATCTCAAAAAACAAAGTGTGCTTTTAAAATATTCAGTCTTCCATTCTAATCTAATCTAGAGTTATAAGTGATCAGCCAGTGTGGTGTAGTGGTTAAGAGCAGTAGACTCGTAATCTGGTGAACCGGGTTCGTGTTTCCGCTCCTCCACATGCAGCTGCTGGGTGACCTTGGGCCAGTCACACTTCTCTGAAGTCTCTCAGCCCCACTCACCTCACAGAGTGTTTGTTGTGGGGGAGGAAGGGAAAGGAGATTGTTGGCCGCTTTGAGACTCCTTAGGGTAGTGATAAAGCGGGATATCAAATCCAAACTCTTCTTCTTCTTCAGGGCATGATTTCTCTCCCCTATACAAGTATGCAATATATTTCCACAGACACAGAACATGGGCCAAGATGTGCCACCTTCCCAAAGCCCTGGGGTTGCCAGTGTGGTACCTTGGGTGGACTGCTGCCCTTGAGGACTTCCCTTGAACCCCACTCATAGTCCCCTTTATCATGAAATGGTGAGGGTGGTTATCTTTGCCCCTTCCTCTGAACAATACACAGAGCAGAAGCAGGCCCTTTTTTCAGCCAGAACTTGCTGCAACTCACTTCCAGCACCTCTCAGGTGGGCGCCATTGCCGTTATAAGAGAAAAGGGGAGCGTTCGTGGTGAGTTCCAGCAGCTCTTTTTCTAGACAAATAGCACTGAGTGAAAGGAGGAAGTCCAAAGAGTGGCACTCTTTGTCACTTCCTCTTTCAGCTCTGACATAATTCAAGGCACACCCCAAATAATAATAATAATAATAATAATAATACATATTATTTGTACCCCACCCATTTGACTGGGTTGCCCCAGCCACCCTGGGTTGTTTCCAACATATAACAAGCTAGCAACTTGTTGAACGAACCCTGTACACCTTATAAAACCCATGCTTTCTTGTTTCCTTTTAAATCACATGTGGAGCAGTTACCATCTTTATAAAGGTAATGCATGTGTAGGATCCAAAGTTCTCAGCATTCGTAAGACAAAAGCAAAAGCACTGACATTGCAGTAGGTCAGATCAAAGCTTTGTTGTGACTACTACTATCTCTGGCCAGTCTCTTGCAGCCCCCGAGAATCTTACAAGCAACCCATCAGTTTCCCACTGTAATTAATCTGCATGCCCTGCCTCATGACACCCAGTATAATGGTCTCATTTTGCATTCAGTGCACCTGCTGGTCCCCCCCTCAGATTCCAGGCACACATCTTGTTTGACGAGAGCCCCCTCTCCAAGACCGACTTATATCAGCTTATATAAAGCAAACAAGCACATGTGCTGCTGCCGCTGCTGCCGTGTGATACTGTCAGAAGTCCTTATACTCCTTAGCCAAAGAGCAAATTTTGAAAATGCCCCAGGGCGGCAGAAAGTCTTGCTGATCTTGCACCTCAGCCAAGTCGTTCTGTAAGAGGGCCCACAGGCTCCAACGTGCTGGCATAATTGGCCCTGCCCGTCACGTGGACAAAAAGATATGCACCCCTCCCCAGCTCTGCAAAACCGATCTCGTACAATCAGCCGCAACATCTCCAGAAGCCTGGGTGAAGGGTACCACAATGCCACACTTTGCAGGTACTTCTGAGCAACTTCCTTGTGTTTCACTTTTTTTTTCTTTTTGAGAGGTGTCTTTCAACCTCAAAGTTGGGTCTGCATCACGAAAGGGGGCGGGAGAAGACATTTTGTTGTGACACGTTACCTTGGTTGAACTGTTTATTTTATTTGAAGCCTTGTTGATTTGTTTTGGTTTGTTTCTCTGTCCAGGAGTGGTGGAAAAGGATGGAGTTGGTGACTGGGAGGAGATGAGTGTATTGGTAACGGTGCCTTTCCCCTGGCCATGATTTTCAACTGTTGTTATTTGCCCGTCATTTAACCGTTATTTGCAGTCACTTTGATCTAGTTGTTGGTTGTTTTAGGTAAGGGCAGGGCCTGACAAGTACCTGGGTGATCAAAAGGGGGAAAAGTAATTCTTGGTTCATTGCGGCTTCTAGAGGGATGTATGATATTGGAGGTAAGACTAGTTATGTAAGGAGAGGGGTTTTAGACATTTGGAAGCTATTGCCCTTTTCTGGTCCTTCTCCCACCCAACAAGATTTAGGCTCTTATGTTAGCCTTCCTAATTGTGTTTTATTTATTGCTTGTAAAAATATCCAAATTCCACTTTATCATTAAAAAGGTATCACAGCAATTTACAACTACATGAAAACATAAAACCAGACAATAAATCATAAAAAGTTTAAAGCAAGGGAAAATAAAAAAAGAAATTAGAAATTAGAACATCAATAGACCATTGTATGTGGGATATGTGTGTGCTGATCCTGAACACTAGGTCATCCCATAATAAAACATCAGTCATCCACAATTTGGTTGTGGATGAAGCAGCAGTCCAAGTCTGTATTACTGAGACCTTCAGGGGGCGGGCAGGGGGGCATGAGGCTGACCTGACCCAGGTTTGCCTATTTAGGTCCTTAGTACCTTGTTAATAGGGATGCTGGTGGCGCTGTGGTGTAAACCACTGAGCCTCTTGGGCTTGCCGATCAGAAGGTTGGCAGTTCGAATCCCTGCGATGTGGTGAGCTCCCGTTGTTCTGTCTCAGCTCCTGCCAATCTAACAGTTCGAAATCATACCACTGCAAGTAAAGGTAAAGGTAAAGGGACCCCTGACCATCAGATCCAGTCGCGGACGACTCTGGGGTTGCGGCGCTCATCTCACTTTATTGGCCGAGGGAGCCGGCGTACAGCTTCCGGGTCAAGTGGCCAGCATAACTAAGCCGCTTCTGGCGAACCAGAGCAGTGCACGGAAACGGCGTTTACCTTCCTGCCGGAGCGGTACCTATTTATCTACTTGCACTTTGACATGCTTTTGAACTGCTAGGTGAGCAGGAGCTAGGACCAAACAACGGGAGCTCACCCTGTCACGGGGATTTAAACCACCGATCTTCCAATTGGCAAGCCCTAGACTCTGTGGTTTACACCACAGTGCCACCCACGTCCCACCAGTGCAAGTAGATAATAAATTATTATTATTATTATTATTATTAATAATAATAATAATAATAATAATTTATTTATATCCCGCCCTCCCCAGGCAAAGCCGGGCTCAGAGCAGCTAACAACAGTAAATAGATACCACTCCGGTGGGACGGTAAATGGCATTTCCATACACTGGTTTCGCCGGAAGCGGCTTAGTCATGCTGGCGACATGACCCGGAAAAATTGTCTGAGGACAAACGTCGGCTCCCTTGGCCAGTAAAGTGAGATGAGCGCCGCAACCCCAGAGTTGTTCGCGACTGGACTTAACTGTCAGGGGTCCTTTACCTTTAATACTAAAAATAAATGCAGCTTTGGGTTTTTTGCAAGAAATATTTCATGTTGGGGAAATATGACTTTGTGACAAAGATTGCTGATAAAACATTCCCGCCTAAAAGATTTGTAATAAAACATTGTTTTCTCTTAGAATGTCCTCTAGTCTTCATTGCTCTGGGGGTATGAATATTATACATTCATGCTTTATATTCCATGTACTGTCAGAAATCTGAATTGCTAACATTTATTGCATGATTGTGTCACTCTTGTTTGAATAATAGCTTCCTACTTCCAAGATGCTCCTAGTTATTGCAAAAGAGCTGTCTTCTGAAACAAACTAGACACGATCTCCCCTCTCAAAACAACAGAATGCACCTGATAATGGACCTTTCAGGGCTTGTTAATAGATATATTAACAAATGTTTGCATAAATTCTCGTCTAGATAAGGTCCCATTTGAACTCGTTGTCTGGGGATGCCTCAGTGGCTCATGTTTATGGGCTTGCATAAAGAAATGCATCGTCGTTGTCTAGTGTCAGGATGTGATGCCCTATTCTGCACGTGTAATATCCATTATGAATGCCATATTGAATATATAAATGCCATGTTCACTTCTGATCTTATTATGCAGTCAAGCATGATGCTCGACAGTCATTATTCCCACACCATGTTAGAGACCTGCATTTGGTGTTATAACCCATAAGGGTGGAGTTGGGTTATAAAACTACAGATGCCAAGGCCATAATTCACGGGCAGCAAAGCACAGTTAGCAATTAGCTGTGCTTTTGTAGGTAAATTATGTAAATCACTGACTTTAAAGGAAATGCTTTTGCCCCTGTTCTTCTTTCCTTTTTTTAACTGAAACTTAGAAAATGTCAATCCGCAATAGGTAAACCCATATTATTTTGCCAACTCCTTTCTACAAATCTATTTTTTCCTTCAAAAATCACACCAAGTTTTTTGTCTTCATCACCATCACCCGTAGGTGCCTGAGCAATGGAGATGTCTCACAGAATTTCATTTTAAAACCTCTTGCCTTCGGTCTTTTGTTTTAGAATTATCCATTGGGTCTATAGTTGAGAACCTCAAGAAAGCGAGAGAGATAGCACATGGTCACCCTGGAATTCCTGAAGAGCTAGGATGTTACCTGCAGAAAGCTCTTGATGCGGCAGGAGGATTGGACCTTTACCTGACAAGAGAGGCAAGTTCTAACAGGTAACACATTTATCATCTGGCTGTGACAGAAAGTGCGTCAAATTATCTTGTGCTACCTTCTCTACATTGTGAATGTATAGTTCAGTCTATTGTTATGTGTTGACTCTCTTACTGCCATGAGTGGGATTATCACAAATGTTTTGATGGAAATCTGGAAAAAAAATTAATATTTCTTAATGGCCCATGATGGTTAGGTGATTTCTCTTCATGGAATCTAATTGTTAGAAAATGTTTTCTTGATAGTCTCTGTTGGGATTGTTTTGCAACAAGAGAAGAATCAGAGTTTGGTGAGAGTGACACTTCTGACCTACCCCTAGTAAAAGGCTGGTGTGTTTGTGTACATGTCTGTTTGTGTCTGAAGGAACAAAAGAAACTATTTTGGATATTACAGCTTCCCTCCCATGCCAAATTGCAGCATTGAGAGGGCAGTTATATTCCTCAGCTCAAGCAAGAGTTATTTAGGGGAGCTCATAATGACAAACTTAAACCAACTCGTATCATATAACGATGCAAATAATAAGACATGCAAGTAAAATTGTTACTCACGTGCCTCTCAAGCCAAGCAATGGAGATCAGGAAAATATGGAGATCAGAAAGTTTAATGGGTGAAGCATGGCTCTTATTTCAGTCTTTGAAAAAGTATGCAAAATAAATATGCAGTAGATGTGGGCCCACTCCAGTTATTCAATTATTTTAGGCTACAATATTACACAGGTTGCAAATGTAACCTATTGAATCAGGCTTACTCCCAGATACATGGGGTTAGGATTTCAGCCTTATCTTGGGAATAAAACTCCATTAAACACTTAGACACTTCTAAGATTGTGCTTTTAGATGCACCAGAGCTTGGGTCTTCAAATAACTTACTCTGCGAGCATTAATTAATCTGCTAACTAAATTGCTTTAGTAACTAAACTAATTAATTAAGCTAATTTTAGGTATCATTAATTCAGCAGCCTGACTGGGACTGTCATTATTCCTTTCTCGGCTATAACAATAATACCTGGGTTGCTAAATAGTTCCCATTTATCAGCATATATTCTGCTATGGGGGGGGAGAGAAAAAAGTTTGTTCATTTCTTAGGAGCTACCAATGTGTAAACTGTTCCAGTCTGTAGGTTATAGGAAAACTGAGTGTTGGTTCTGTTGCTGAAATAATAGTCGGTAGTTGTCTGACTAACGCTTGCTGGTGATAATAGCTATACATTATCTTATTAAAGTTGTTCAAGCACTGGCGAGGGGCAGCAAAGAGGTTACCCGAAATGTCTTACTCTTCCAGTCTTGGAGTAGCTGAGCATATCTGTTATGGGTTATGAATTTTTTCTTATATTATGGAAGACTGTGTGGGGAGCAGAGCAGGAACAGATGATGTCTATTTCAAATGCTGGCCTGGAGGTATTCATACCTAAGCCTTCTGGGGTTCTGCTTTCTCCCACTGAGAGAGATCTCATTTCTTTGAAAGGAGGAGGAATGCTTGGCTATTCAAACATTGCAGCTGATGTTGCGACCCCCTTAAAAAACAGCTGCATAGAGTGATACTAATTATCTACATTGATTGATTAATTGATTGCATTTATGCCCAGCCTTTTTTCTCTGAGGTGCTCAAGGTGGTGTACATGGTTCTTCCCCTCCTCATTTATTCCCCACAACAACCCTGTGAGTTAGGTTAGTCAGGGATGCAGGCCGGCACTCTAACCATGACACCACACTGGCTCAGTGTGGAATAAATGCATGTGAAATTGTCAAGCATTGCCAATTAGGTGGCCAAAAATGACCAACTACACAAGATGGTTCCTCAATGCTTTGCTTCAGCAGGGTGATCCCACCGAAATGTACAAACCACTGATCTAGAGCTTACAGTTTCTTTGGGGGTTCATCATTCTGATGTTTGTTGTGCCTGGACAGTGACTATTCTTATACATGGGTGGCCATAGTCATATAAGCAGTGCCTTGCTGGATCAGGCCAGAGTTCCATGCAACAACGTATTATTGCTCAACAACAGCAAACTAGGTGGCTCTGAGAAGCCACCTAGAAGTAGGACTTGAAGATCATGGCCATCTTCTATTACAGGAGTGGGAAGTCTTTGGCCCTCCAGATGTTGCTGAACTACAACTCCCACCAGCCCTTGCAAGCATAGCCAATAGCCAGGGATGATGGATGTTCAGCAACATCTGGAGACTCAAAGGTTCCTCACACCTGTTCTATTAGTTGCTCCTGGCACCTGAAAACGAGAAGTATCCAAGAAGAGATCTGTCCTTCACAAATTTATCTAAAGCAAGCTAAGCTTGTGTTCATCAAGATATATTGAGGTAGCAAATTGATTTTTTTAAACACTAGGGTCATAGCCTAAGGATTTCTTAGAAAGGGGTACAAAAAAAATCTGTTTCCAATGAGTTGGTCCTTTTCTTCTTTTTCCATTTATTAGGACAACATCATCCAAGGATTGCCTTTTGAATGTCCAATTCAGTGAAATGAAGGTCAGGACTAAGGAAGAGCAGCTCTCAAACTATGCAGAAGGTGAGTCTTTCGCATTATGAAATAACTATGTTTTGCACATTGATGATGGAGTTTAGGCTTTGCATGCAGGTAAAATTTGTCATACCTCAACAAAGGCTTCATCGAATCCTATATGTTTACTCACAAAGCATATATGGATTTCCAAATCCTGGGTAGAACCAAGGAACCATGAGATGCATACCTGCAAGCATAGAGATGTGATCACATGTTTTATAATTTTGCACTATTTATTTATACCCAAGAGTAGGCTAGCTTTATGCCAGGGTAGTTTGTATTTATTACAATATCATGTAGTGTATAGGCTGCAACAACTATTTCTTGTGGAATGTTGCAGACATCTAGAGAGCCAGTGCGGTGTAGTGGTTAAGAGCGGTAGTCTCGTAATCTGGGGAACCGGGTTCGCGTCTCCGCTCCTCCACATGCAGCTGCTGGGTGACCTTGGGCCAGTCACACTTCTTTGAAGTCTCTCAGCCCCACTCACCTCACAGAGTGTTTGTTGTGGGGGAGGAAGGGAAAGGAGAATGTTAGCCACTTTGAGACTCCTTAAAGGGAGTGAAAGGTGGGATATCAAATCCAAACTCTTCTTCTTCTTCTTCATCTAGTGAATGTTGTGAATGTTGACTGCCTGCCTGCCTGCCTGATTCATTCATTCATTTGTTAAAATACTGATATCCTGCCTTTCCATTTTATGGATTCTATAAGTTAGCTGGCTAATATTGAAAAAAACATTTCACATTATAATACACAATAAAAACTAAAACAAATAAACACAGCACCAACATCAAGCACACACAACAGAATCAATAAAGCACAATAGAGAAAGCCCTACCCTCTTCATAAAAAATGGGATAAATGGAGCAGGGAATTTAAGGAAGATCTCAATGTGTGGGAAGGTCCACTTGGAAGAAAATGGTCCTTAGTGTATCCCAGACCTAGACCACTTAAGACAACCTTCTCCAACTTGGTGTCCTCCAGATTTATGGGACTATAATTCCCATCCACCAATGCTGGCTGGGGGTGATGGGAGTTTTAGTCTGAAACTTTTTGTGAAAACCAGTACAGTGGTACCTTGGGTTACAAACTTAATTCATTCTGGAGGTCCGTTCTTAGCCCGGAACCGTTCTTAACCTGAGGCGCTCTTTCACTAATGGGGCCTCCCACTGCTGGCGCGCCACTGGTGTGCAATTTCCATTCTCATCCTGGGGCAAAGTTTGTAACCCGAAATACTACTTCTGGGTTAGTGGAGTTTATAACCCGAAGCGTTTGTAACCCAAAGCATTTTTAACCCAAGGTACCACTGTACTTTGAATTGGGTCCAGAAACCAACTAGAAGCCAGCGTATGTAAAAGAAGCATTTGGTTTGCACAGTTAGCCACCTGGCAGCTGTAGTCCCATTGAAAGCCACACCCTGCCTAAAGTGTGTTACTAAAGTGTCTAGTGAATGTCACCAAATCATGACTTACTTGTACTAACTTGTTTCTATTTAAAAAAGCGTAAAAATGGTGAACTAAAGCTGGTGAAAAGCACGCTTGCCAACTGAGCATTCTGGGTACTGCTTATGGCAACATCTAAACAGCAGTTTTGAAGGCGGTCAGTTGTATGGATCATACACAGCAGAAACCACAGTTTTTGTACAATTGAGTCCACAGTTCTCTTTCTCCTTCCTTCCTATCTTTGCTACAAAAGGAGGCAATCCTACACACTGGCAGACGAAGGTGGGGGTGGGGGGAACAGTCTGCCCTGGGTGCCATCACGGGGGGTGACATCACAGCCGCCCCCGCCCCCGAGATGCTCGCCGCTCACCGCTCATGCCCCGGGATGCACACCGCTTGCCACGCTCATGCCTGACACGTGCCACACCCCCGTGGGCGGCGCGCCACACCCTCTGGGACGCACGCCAGCCACGCCCCTGGATGTACGCTGCTCCCGGTGCCGGAGCAGGTAGCTCCGCCACAGATCCTACAACCTGTAATGGTTGCACATTCTACGTAGTAGCAGTCATACTTCCATTTTAGAAAAGAGGTACCAGTACTTTTCCACATGATTTGCATCAACACGCTGAAAATTATAAATATGCAGTCTCAGAGGAGGGCTTGCAATCTATTACAGTTCATAGGTACTCTAATTTTTTTGTACCCCACAAAGAGATAAAACATAATAGGTGTGCACACCCGCAGGCTGAAGACAAGCTTCAACAAGCTTCCATGTATAAATTCAAAATCATGCAAATGGGAGATAAAGATGTGGAGATATAGGGTTGTATACAACAAAGTTTTAATGGGCCTAGGTTACTCGTGTCCATTAATTTTAATGTGTCTACTCTGAGTAGGATTAACATTGGATTCAACCCATTGTTGCCATCACACCAGTAGCAACCTATTCCGTTCCTGAAGAATGCACAGTCCAAGCATTTGATATGAGTGAACAGCCTTTCCCCCTCAAGCCATCTTTACTTATTTTGCTGGCAGTAAGGATATTAAATTAATGAAGGAGGAGTCAAATTTTTATTCCTGCAAAAATCTGGGTGTTTTTATAGAGGATGATTTGTCAGGGATGAATACTGGTCCATTTCAGATTATTTCAACACTCAGTGCCTTTGCTCCTCTGTGAAGTTATTACACTAAATCGCCAGGTTCGTGCATCCCAGATGTTGCCATCTTTTGAGTAATACATCATCGAAACAAAGTGCCCTGGAAACGTATAGCAGGAATACATTGTTCAAAGGGCAGCAGCGATGATAAATCTCTTAAATGATGTTGCTGTCTGGGGATAATGACTTTAAGAGCAAATGCAAGGTAATCTCGTGATTCTCAAACCCCCCACCGACTTAACATGTCCCAGGAACATGATATGTGAAACATCTTGAAGCCTTTTTCACAGGGGCTAATATTCAAATATTTAGCAGTTCAGGCCCTGCTTTAGAACAATGCTAGCTGGCATTTATCAAAAAGGCTTTTAACATTTTAAATGATTGCCTGTTACTTCCTGAAGCTCCATGTTGATGCTGTCACTTTGTGGTTATAGTCCCAATTCTGAAATGTTCTTGTATCATCATTCTGCACCTTCACTTGCCATTTGAGAACGTCTTGAGTGAAACTCTGGCCCCAGCTACACTGTAGATCGACAGGAATACCATGTTTAACAGACATGGCTTCTCCCCCACAAAAAACTCCCTGGGAACCATAATTTATAACTTACGTTGGGGTCTCTATAAGCTGCGGAAGCACAACGACAAAATGTAACATAACAAAACAATCCGATATTAGAAATTTACAACAGAGGTCACAAGTTGCTCACCGCAAAGCAATATCTGTGAAAGCCCTACACAGACCTGAACCATTTTAAAGCCTTTTTCAGATACTAAGCACACATCCCACAATATTCCTCAAGACCTCCACTGCAAGGGCTAGAAGAGTGTTTTGTTTTCATGGAAATTGCCAATCTAAGAATCACAGCTTTTTCCCCCCAGGCAGCTTCTAGTCAGTTTGTATAAATAGAAAAGTCTCATGCTTTGGACATTGCCACTGGTACTTGTGTATGTGAAATCAAAATGGTAGAAATGTGATGTATTTGCATCCTGTTTTCCTTTCTGCCCAGGGCAACTTCACAGAACGCTGGTGCGTATGACAGGAGCCAAAACGATTTTGATAATAGGAAGGCTAAAAGTCCCATCCATTTTGGCTATGGCTGAACTGGTGCCAGAAGATAGCAGCATGACCATATGTGCCATACAGCCCCATTTTGGAGAATCCAGCCAGGAGGCCTTTGATTTCTCAGCTCATGGCAACAAAATGAGGGCACAAATAGGACCAATAATGGACTCCTTGGAGGTACGGTTTTGCTTTAAGAACTGTTTGTTGAATCTAAGTGACAAACACTGTTAATTATTGCAAAACTTCACATACACCTGTATTCTAAATTCCCTTGCTGCTTCATTAGACTCACCGAAGATTGACTCCATGAACGAAGGTCATACAAATTAGACTAGGCTCATAAGATTACCCCACCCTTGCAATTAACAAGTTGCCTGGTGCAGAATACTGCTGCAAAATACTGAGGGTCTTATCTGGGCAGGGGAGGGGGAAAATGTATGTATTAATCATCTTGATCATGAGCCTCCAGGTGATTTACATAAAATGCAGGGAAGGAAAGAGGAAATTGGCATTCTAGACCTTGACCTTCATACTAACCTGGAGTAGAATTAGGATCAGAAAGATGCACATTTTGTGGTTGTAAAGGTCACCTATCTGTGCTACACAGGGAGGGAGGTTTGATAGTTGAAAGGAAAAGGGTGCTATTTGCTTTCCCCCTAGTCCTCAGATTTCCCCATGCTGCTTGCCGTAAATCTGAACTCTTGAGTACCACCGTATATAGAAATATGGGAGTTCAGGAGGAGGATATAAAGTTGTTCTGGTGGGCTTGCTAGAGATCATAGAATCATAGAGTTGGAAGAGACCACAAGGGCCATCGAGTCCAACCCCCTGCCAAGCAGGAAACCAAGATCAGGCCTCCCAGTCAACGATACAGCTTGAAAAAGGCCCAACATTTCACTACCCAGCTGGGCTTTAGTTAGGGCTAACTGTGTTCCTTATATGCTCTTCCTGCTCTTCCTCACTGCAGCCTTTTTTTGCATTATTTCTGCTGCCTTCCCTTTGGTTCTCAGTTAAACGGTTGCAAGTTTCTCGGACTCTTTTGTCGCTGTGGTGCTTGACAGGAAATAAATATGTACACCTCGATACAATGATTTTGGCAGATACACTTAGCGGTGTGGGGGTGTGGGGAGAGAACGTTACAGATCACCTGCAATGGTGCAAGGTTTTAAAAATCCTTTTGGCTCCCTGCAAGGAGTGTGAAATTAATTGAATTGCTGTTGCTCTCTAGTGCTCATTCAGTGTAACTGACTGTGAATAAAAATATCTAGAGGCAAGCAGAGTACATGCCGTGTGAAGATTAAAGAAGGGCCCTGGATGGGAGCGAAGACATGAAAATGGAACCTTTAAAGGAGAGCGCTGCGGTTGATTTTCCGATGGCGTGCTGTAAACAGCCCTTGCAAAAGGCTAAGTGATCTAGATTGTCAAACACGGCCAGAAGGCAGCACGTTTTCAATACCTCCAAAGTGGGGTTAAGTTGGAAAGAGTCACAACTCTTTGTAGCACATTTAGCACTGCTGCTTTTCTCTCAGCCCTGAACATCCAGAATGAGGGAACAGAGGCTCCCAAAGATGGAGGGTGGGAAGAGAGAGAGACCGGGAAATGCCAAAAGAGGAATACATATTTAACCACATGTCTTACCCATGGTGGTCATTGTCCACCAAACATACAGTGGTACCTCAGGTTACATACACTTCAGGTTACATACGCTTCAGGTTACAGACTCCACTAACCCAGAAATAGTGCTTCAGGTTAAGAACTTTGCTTCAGGATGAGAACAGAAATCGTGCTCCGGCGGCGCAGCGGCAGCAGGAGGCCCCATTAGCTAAAGTGGTGCTTCAGGTTAAGAACAGTTTCAGGTTAAGAACGGATCTCTGGAACGAATTAAGTACTTAACCCGAGGTACCACTGTATTGCATTCAGGAATATCTCTCTCTCTCTCTCTCTCTCTCTCTCTCTCTCTCTCTCACACACACACACACACACACACACTGATCAACTGAAAATATTCTTGCCTACTTTTGAGCTCTTGTTGTGATTGGTTCCACCTTGGACATCGATTACATCTGAGCTTTTGAGGGTCTTGTGGTAGTGGACCTTGCTGGGATCTGAACCACCTTTCATGTGGTTGGGCAGCGGGGAGAGGCTGCAGCCACATCCTTTCAGGTGGCAACCCTGTTCGTGTAGAAATTCAGCAGAATGTTCATAGGATCTCCTTGTTAGTAGCTGTGCATTGGATCGGATTGATGTAGCATTAGAGACAACATTCCCTGTCCTCCTATTGCCCCTTTCTGGTTTATCCCATATCTGTGGTTAGCTTTCATTCATGATCATTAAAGCACTGAAACTCCCGCAAACACAGGGTTTACTAATCTGTATGCATTGGAGCAAGCACATCCTCTCTAGTGCAGAGAGGTTTCCTGGTGCCTGAAGGTGGGCCCATTCAAGGGAGAAAAGGGCTTCTTCAGACTGAAGACGAGCTGCAGTAAGCACTCTGGTTAGATGGGCCAAGAAGATTACAATACTGAATGAGGGATGGAGTTGCTCTCAGAGAGTGAAGAGAGAGAGAGAGAGAGTGTGTAGAGCCATCTTCTCAAATAAGTGCCATATGGAGGTGCCTTATGTGTTCTGCCTGCTTGCCAAATTTGTTCCTTGCCAGTTTGTGTGTGCGTGTGTGTGGAGGGGAGGGTTGTTTAAGATGGCAAAGCCAAAAGACTGAAAAATAATTCATCACATAGAGGCAAATGAGGCCTGGGACGTTAAAGCAAAACTGAGGCAACTCCAGATAGGGCGGACACTTACCCATCGCAAAAAAAAAATTGGTACAGTTTGCATAAATTTTGTGTATATGCTAATTTATTTGCATAGATGTGCAAATTTAGAAATAGCTCCTGCGATTTCCTCGCCATAGTGGGAAGGTCTGTGAACAGGTGAAGCAGGTGGCCTCTTCAGCCTGCTGAGGTGTGCTAACTGTTTTGGGGCAACTGCAAAAGGCCTCTTAGAATTCTTTACCTTTAAACTGGACTTGGGCTAGGCAACACTTTAAATAGAAGACTCCTTCAAGAGAACTGCCCGCCATGGCCACACTAGGACTGGAACCAAGAGCAGGAGCCTTCTCTCTCCTTCTGTTGCTCAGCCCCCAAAATAAGAAGCACCTGGAAGCTCTTGTATGGGCCTGTCCATTTTAGGCGACTGCTCTGGCCAGCTTGTTCAAGATCTCTTTCTAGGATCATTAACACACAGTTGTCTTGCTGCTTGTCTTTTGGTGCTTATAGCTTTTTAAAAATTTAATACAAGGAATTATTTTTAGATGTTTAGAATTATTATTTTTTTGCTACCCTGGGCTTCTTTAGGAGGAAGGGCAAGATATTAATTGATCAAATAGAAGAAGCATCTAGTGTTGGGCGCATAGGCTGATATGGAGATCTCACCACTTCTGCTAAGGCTCTCAACACCCTGGCACTAAGATTTGTCAAGCTAAAGCTTTGGTTGCAGTGGAAGGGATCCTATGAAAGCACAAAGGCATGGCATAAGAGGATGGTACATAACTTGGCATGCTTTCGATGCTTATTAAGTGGGAATAGTAGCATTTGCAGTTATGGGTCAGCACAGCACTAAGCACAGTATTTGGCAGCCAAGAACTGGAGGGGGGGTGCACAGCCAGTGTGGTGTAGTGGTGAAGAGCAGTGGACTCGTAATCTGGTGAACCAGATTCGTGTCTCCGCTCCTCCACATGCAGCTGCTTGGGCTAGTCACACTTCTCTGAAGTCTCTCAGCCTCACTCACCTCACAGAGTGTTTGTTGTGGGGGAGGAAGGGAAAGGAGATTGTGGGCCGCTTTGAGACTCCTTCGGGTAGTGATAAAGCAGGACATCAAGTCCAAACTCCTCCTCCTCCTCAGCTGATCCGTGCAGATCAGGGTTGCTGCCTTATCTCTACTTATCAAATAATTTATCTGATGGGAGGAAGCCATTTGCATCTCTGTCAGGGCTCTGGGCTCCACTCATCCCAGTGTTATGTCTACCGTGGTACCTCGGGTTAGAGATGCTTCAGGTTACAGATCCTTCAGGTTACAGACTCAGCTAACCCAGAAATAGTACCTTGGGTTAAGAACTTTGCTTCAGGATGAGAACAGAAATCGTGCTCCGGCAGCGCGGCAGCAGCGGGAGGCCCCATCAGCTAAAGTGGTACCTCAGGTTAAAAACAGTTTCAGGTTAAGAACGGACCTCCAGAATGAATTAAGTTCTTAACCTGAGGTACCTCTGTATTATACTCCTCCCACTTTTGTTCAAGGGTGTCAATTTGAATAAAATATTGGGGAGGCCCAGGTAAGCCCTGCCTTGCATAATCAATCACAAGATGTAGCCCTCACACACCATTTGAATGGCAATGCCCATCAACTTGGGGCAGCAGCCCCCTCAAATATTTTATGGGGGGGGAGAAAGGGACCTCATCCCCTAGGAGTTGGGGCCTATGTTTTGGCCAAAATTGGTGAGATCTTGGGAGGACCAGATCAGGCCCCTGCAGTGTGGAGTAGCCACCTGTGTAATAGTAATGGGAGACTCTGACAGAAATTGGCCACAGTCTTCCAACACAGATTTCATGGCTTTAGCACCAAGGCAGTTCCTCCCCCCTCTCCCATGCTTTGCTCAACATCCAGCCTGCAAAAGACTTCTTGCTCACCCTTTTGTGACAGTAGGCTGGCTCATAAGGGTGTTCCCCTACTATGGAGTTCAGCATTTTTCTAAGGAGTTCAACATGGCCCTCTGCCCAAACAGTGCTATGGTGCCTGAGATAAGGCCATGTTTGTTTCTAGACTCTAGAAACAAGAGCAAAAAAAGAGAGAATGCCATGGTGGCCATTCAAAGCAAATAAATGCAATTTGTCGTAATTTCCCCCCCCTGAGAAAGAGGACGTATCCTGGAAAAAGAGGACACATGGCAACCCTATGCAAGACGGCTTTACTAAATGGGGAATAAGAAAGTAGTGTTCAAATAGACAAAGAAAGCCACTAGTATTTATTTATTTCACTTCTACCCCCACATTTTTCTCCAAGGATCCATAGAAACATGGAATTGATGAGTTGGAAGGGACACCGAGGGACATCTAGTCCAACCTCCTGCAATGCAGGAATTCTGCCCACAGGCATCGCTGTGTGGGCTCGAACCACCAGTCTTCAGGTTGACAACCCTGGGAGGTAGGCTAGGTTGAGAGGCAGTGACTGGCCCAAGGAGTCTGAGTGGGGATTTGAACCCTAGTCTGCTAGGTTCTAGTCCGAGACACTAACCGCTACGCCACACTGGCTGTGTATAAAAGATGGCATGGTGCAGAAGGAAGAGATGTGTCATCCCCCGGGGAGCTAGGAAGATGCTGTCCCATTGCTAGCGCTAAAGCAAGATTCACCTGCCAGTCTGGTCGGTTTCTGTACCTGGAATAGGAGAGGGCGCTGTCTTCTCCTTTGCTGCCTTAGGCATCAAAATGTTTCGGGCCAGCCCCTGTTGAGCTTATATGAGACTTGGCTATGTGCAGCTTTTCATTGTCTCGCATGGACGCGCCAATAAGCTAAAGCCAAAGATTTCCTGTGCGGATGTGCTTTGCAGAAGGTCAAAGGAGGCAAGCTCTAATTCATGCCGCAGATCATAGACTGAAGGATAGGGCATCCCACAGGTTGCCTAGGTGCCCCAGTAGGGATTTGGGTACACAAGGCAGGGAATTAGCAGATGGTTGTGCACACAGGGCGGACCTACTCTCGCACGTTCCCCAATCCCTTTGCAGATGCTGTTCTGAACAGCTGCCAAGCAAAATTATCCCGTAGCCTCCTGCTGCACAGGCTTTCTCTGCTTGCTTGGATGCCGGGCAGAACATATGCGACGGCCTTCCGTGAATGCTCTCCTTTCTCTTTAAGACACCCAGGCCATGTTAAAGGAGCTGCTGATATAGCCAGACTCTTGATATCCTGTGGTGGCCACAGGGGTCTTGCGTTTCCTTTGCCTTGTGTCTTAATTCCTCACCCATAAAGGGAGACAATTGCCTCATAATAAAAGGATAATGAGAATAAACACAACAACAACAACAACCACTCAACGTTTTGAGTGTTTGATACCCCTCATGTTGATTATGGCAGAAACCATACATTATCGTCCTGGTGCCATGCCACAGGGTCCCCATCGTGTAAGGCACCGTTGTACCATGTTATTTATTTATCTAGCGGGTTTGGAACTTTTCCCTCACGCCCTCCAGGCTTATTATTATTTTGATGGAGGCGCAGTTTCAGATCGCTCCGTTTGAAAGCCTTAACCAGATAATACCGGGAAGTAATAAGGACGCATTTGCAAAAGCTGCTGGTAATTGCAGCGCCGCTGTGGACGTGCGCGAGGGACTTTGCTGCCTTTGTCATCCCCTCCTCTCGTTTCTTCGACAGGCTAGGTGAAGAGGTTGAAGCGCAGATCTCATTTCCCCCTGTTTGGCTGCTTGTGAAGTCTGCCAACAGAATCCACCTTGACAAAGTCAAGGACTCCACGTTTAATGTTGAGCTGAGTGAATAAATTATGCATGAAATTGTGTCGGAGTCTCTAGTGTGCAGAATTGCTCCTTTTGATATGAAAGGTTAATTCAGAAAGGAGTCCAAAATAGCTGGAAATTGTGGGGATAAGTGGATAGTATTCACTGTTGTGAGCTGTTATTACTAGAAATTGCATTCCCTCTCTAGCTTCCCCCGAGATTTAGCTTTGCCAGTGAATATAAACTGTACTCAATAGAATAGCATCCAGAAGCAACAAGAGTAGATGTCCACATACAGTGAAATATTCCAACGGTGTTTCTAAAAGGGCCGTGTGCTTTCCCCCAGGTATATTAGGTGCCCCTGGGGTAGCCAATGAGGTGCAACTCGCATCATCCCTGAGTATTGGCCATAGCTGATTGGACCTATAGCCCAACAGCATCTGTAGTGCACTTTCTTGGCTACCTGTGCCATATCCTATATATTCTACAGTGTAGAAGAATTACAACCTCATTTAGGTCAAGAACAAGGTGCATCACTGGAAATCACCAAGGTGTACCAGCGCCATATGAAGACAGACTCACTATATGTGGGCAACCGCAGGTGGAGGGCCTCTTGCTCTATTTACTATACTGCCCACTATACATTGGACCCAGGAGGTGATTTCTAACCCTACCATCTGTACAGGAAAGATGTCTCTCCCCACAGCAGAGAAGGTCCTATGGTTTCTTAGCGATGTAAATGCTTCATTGACTCACAAAGTTGCCCTTTTTCCCCTCTGGCAGCCCAAAAGATCAGAAAGAAGACCCTGGACAATACAGCATTATTGAACTGTAAGGGAGATTCAGAGATCTAAATAGGGACTATTATTTGCAGCACGGCATCCCTTTATGTAGGGGACGCGGGTGGCGCTGTGGGTAAAAGCCTCAGCGCCTAGGGCTTGCCGATCGAAAGGTCGGCGGTTCGAATCCCCGCGGCGGGGTGCGCTCCCGTTGTTTGGTCCCAGCACCTGCCAACCTAGCAGTTCGAAAGCACTCCCGGGTGCAAGTAGATAAATAGGGACCGCTTACTAGCGGGAAGGTAAACGGCGTTTCCGTGTGCGGCTCTGGCTCACCAGAGCAGCGATGTCACGCTGGCCACGTGACCCGGAAGTGTCTCCGGACAGCACTGGCTCCCGGCCTCTAGAGTGAGATGAGCGCACAACCCTAGAGTCTGTCAAGACTGGCCCGTATGGGCAGGGGTACCTTTACCTTTACCTTTATCCCTTTATGTGTATTTATTTTTTATTCAGATTTGTCATGGCCGGTGGCTAGTACAAAAAAGTTATTTGGATTGTGTGCCAGTGGGTTTGAAGTGCCTTCCCTTAGAATCCATCCTTTGTCTGTTTGTTTTAAAGGAAACCAGAGAGCCATGTTTGAAAGTGTCTGATTGGGCTGTTGGGCGATGTCCAGATTCCAATTTGAATACTCAAAGCACGGCAGCTCTCTTTTCCTTAGGTGTCTCTGCAATACCAGCTTGAGCGCCGTTCTTGTCTTTGCACCAGCCACTGCCTGCCATTGTCAACTAGCAGTGCAGGGTGAAGCCCACTGTGTATTAAGTTTGCGAAGCTTAGAAATGCTGGCTCGGGTCATGTTGATCCACAAAGTGAGAGTTGTAAGAACATGTCTAGACCTGACCAGAACTATCCGGCAGCTGGATTTTATTATGTATTTTTTTAAAAGCAAGCAGGCAAGACATTTGCTTGTTTAAAAGCAAGGACACCTGACTTGTTTTGGCCTCGGGGCCAAATAACACATAGCTATGATGTTTCCTTTGACATGGTTATAATATTTTTGATTCCAGGAGTTAGCAGCCGTGGGGAAAGATTTTGATATAGTCTTTATTGATGCCGATCAAAGGAACCCTGCAGAGTACTATCGCTTTGTCATGGAGAACCATTTGCTGAGGATGGATGGGACGCTCTGCATAGAGAACGCCCTCATGAAAGGAGAGGCCTACCTGGAGAATACAGCAGATGAAAATGTATTAGGTGTCAAAAAACTGAATCAAGTAATTAATTCAGATCCTCACACGGAGCAGGTTAGTGTGATACAATTAAGGGTGACATCAATATTATAATAGCTTTCTGCATGTTTCGGGGTGGAAGTGCTATGTTTGTTTAGGCGCTTCTGCTTGCTCCCTTCCATTTGACATAAACATACTGATTATCTTTATATAAGCTTCCCTCGCTAATAGGAATATATTATAATCACATTAAGGTGAGGTGGGTGGTGACTGAGGGCTGAGCCTTCTTTGTTTGTCTCTCTCCCCCCACCCCTGACTCTGAAATGCTCTGCCTGGTGCCAGGTAAAAACAAATTAATTTGCCCGGGCCTTTTGATTTGGTATATGTGCTCTAGTTTTAAAAGTATGTTTGGTACCTTTAGTGCTTATTCAAAGCTTATTCAAAACTTTTAGTGCTTATTCAAAAAATACTTTGAATAAGCCTGCTTCTCTCTTTTGCTGTTACAATGGAATCTCGGATTACAAACACCTTGGGTTACAGACACTTCGGGTTACAAACTCCGCTAACCCGGAAGTAGTACCTCGGGTTAAGAAGTTTACCTCAGGATGAGAACAGAAATTGCACAGCGGCAGCGGGAGGCCCCATTAGCTAAAGTGGTACCTCAGGTTAAGAACAGTTTCAGGTTAAGAACGGTCCTCCGGAATGAATTGAGTTCATAACCCAAGGTGCCTCTGTATAAGACTCTCTCTCCCTCTCCCTCCCTCCCCCCCCTCTGTGTGTGTGTGTGTGTAAAAAAAGAGTGGTAGGAAACCTCTGGTGGGATTCACTGTAAAACTAAATAATAAATACATTAAGAGCTGCTTATTTTCTCTCTCTGCCGGATCCACAAGTTTCAAGATAGCTGAGATGCCTGCCTCATTGGGCAGGGGGAGACTAGATGAAATCAGATAAAAGTTATCACTGTAGCTTTTCACTGTAAGTTTCTTAGTGTGGCACTAATGAGATGGAGCTGTCAATCTGGCTTTCCTACATACCAGATAGTTATAGGCCTGTGAAATTGTATTGGGTTTCTGGTGGGTCCCAGGGTTTTTCCTTGAGTCTGACACAGACAGGGTCTAATGCTGGTGCTTCTGGGCAAAAGACGAATTTGAGAGAAAGGGTAAGTCTGGCAAAGAAACTGAGCGAATCCCTCGCTCATCACTGAGGGAATGTCCCTCATGCTGTCACCGGGCATCTTTCCACACTGTTCACAGGTGTGAAATAGGGAAGGAAGGAAGATGGGGAAGGAAGGGTGCTCTCTGTCTCAAGTCAAGAGCAGACACAGGTGTGCTGTTGCCCAGCAGGGCTGCCTGCCTTAGACTCCAGGTACTTCAGGTAAATTCAAACACGCACAGCTTTAGGAGAGCCCTGCTTACTCCTAGGTCTCCAGGCCCATACTAGCTTCTTCTCCCCACTCACTTCTATGTTCCCTCTTCAAGCTGAGAGAAGCCAGGCAACTGTGAAGTCTTGCATTCCAAGACCACAGACCCAGTTCAGACCAGCAGCAAACACACTAGTTTCCGCCACCAAGATAGAAGAAAACCTTCCACTGATCCCTTTCAAAACTGATGTTGCTGTATCTAACGGTGGTTTGATGAAGTAACAAGTGTTTCCTGAGACCACGGCGGGAGGGAAGGACCCCTGTTACTGGGAGAGGAAGGGGCATTGCGAATGTTTTTGACACTCCTCTCTGAAATAGTTGCCATGACTGGGGTCAAAGTGAATGGATGAGGTTTTATCTGAAATGTTTCATGAAGTGTGTTTTCATTTATCAAGGTGGTCCTCCCTGTGGAAGGTGGCTTGATTCTTCTCCAAAGGAGTCGGATATGTGCCGACGAGGAGACTAACCTAGGAGTATGTATTTGCCTCTCTCTCTCTAAAGGAATTTGTGTGCATTTCAAACTTGAAAGAAAGAAAGAAAAAAACATCTGGCCAGTTTCTCCCCTCACGCCATTGACTTGCCAGTAAGGTTGGTCTCACACATTTGCATCCCTCCCAGTCAGAACTTTGCTCCCCCAGTTGATGGCCTCTGATTTTTTATTTGTATTTTTTATTATATATGTCTATACTCCTAAAAGAATTTTGATAGTGTTGTGATATAGTGGCATATAAATATTTTTTTATATATAAACAAATAAAACAAAACATGAATCTACCCTAAGGAAATAAAGTCAAACTTCCTAACTAGCAATCCTGAGCCACACAGTCCTGAGTACCCAGTGGCCACTGGCCACTAATCACGATAGCGCCATATTATCTTGAGAAGTAGTCATACATGTGATGGGGTAGCCACTAAGGAGTCTGCCTCCTAACAGCGGCATTGCTGCAGATAGTTAGAACTGGGGAAGGGCAGTAGTGAAGTTGCAGCTGTTTTGGCACACCTTTGTGGTTGCAACAGTGAGCTCCTGCCCGTGTTCCCTTATAAAACTGCTAGCATATTTGCAAAGCCAAGCCAGGTCTGGTATGTTTTCAGATTGGTTGGAGGGGAGGAACCAACCGTATGTTGAGATTCCTGTATTGCAGGGGGTTCAACTAGCTGTCCCTCGAGGTCCCTTCTAACTCTACAATTCTATGATTCTGGGACTGGCATTCAAGGCACTTTCTCAAAACTCGGAATGTGCCCACTGCGTCAAAAATGTTGTCAACCGATGCATACAAGTTGTGTGTGTGCTCTATGCACAAGTTTGAGTGAGTGCATATATTGAAAGATTCTGGGCAGAAGGTAACGGAAACCAGTGCTTTTTCCCCCTAAAAAAATGTTTAGGGGTACTCTCATTTTGACTCAAGAAAATCACCATTTTATAGTTCAAGTCGGGGAAAATAAATACAGTAAATGGACAAAATACAAAGATTCACAAAATGGTTTTGGGTATGCGTCCCCCTGAGTCCCCCCAGGGGAAAAAAGCACTGATGGAAACTATCAACAGAACTGTACAGAACAACCTTGCACTCACAGAGCAAAATATCCTTTTGAATTATATGCCCAGCACATGGAACCTTACAAAAGGACAATATGACTGGACTCTCTGTGCCCGTTCCACAGCAAAAAGACTGATACTGATGAATTGGAAAAGTAAAAATGTGGCTCCCTTCCACGATTGGATTGAAGACTTACACAAATTTGCAACATATGAACAACTTGCACATAAACACAGACTTGCCATGGATAAATTCAATGATATTTGGAATCCAATCTTGCAATTCCTGTACAGTGGTGCCTCGCAAGACGAAATTAATTCGTTCCGCGAGTTTTGTCGTCTTGCGATTTTTTTCGTCTTGCGAAGCACGGTGTCGGGAAAGTTTTGGAAAAGCTTCAAAAACCTCAAAAAGCTTTAAAAACCTCAAAAAAGGCTACCACACCACGTTCTATGAGTTGCTCCTCAAAGTCAAGTCGCAACTGTATTAACGGTGTTAAGAAAAAGGAAACAAACTTGCAAGACGTTTCCGTCTTGTGAAGCAAGCCCATAGGGAAAATCGTCTTGCGAAGCAGCTCAAAAAACAAAAAACCCTTTCGTCTTGCGAGTTTTCCGTCTTGCGAGGCATTCGTATTGCTAGGTACCACTGTAATAGGTTAAGATCTGGTGAAGTGCAATAACAACTTTGTAAAAACAAACAAACATTGAGCGAGTGCATAAAGTTTGGGAGAAGGGCATAGTCCTGCTCCTCATTTAAATGTTGATTATCCATTGCAATTGTTGAGCTAATTCTGATTACGCTTCCTGGGGGTTGGACTGGCTGAATCCTTCCTAAAGCTTGCAGCAGCAAATGCAACTCTTTCTAAGCATGGAAAAATGCCCATGCTAGAAATCCACATCTTATCCATATGGGGGCACTATGTATACACTCATTAACGGTGAAAGGCTTGCCGAGCTTCCTGATCGCAAGCTCTTGAAAGTGAGAGTGTGCCGGCTCATCTTTACATGTCATGCTTGCTTCCTTCGTGCCTCAGCGAACTCCTCTGTTTTGGTTACAAAAGGGCGTTGTGAAAGACGACGTGTTTTGGGGCCACCGTGGCCGCCGCATCCTCGACCGCCTGCAGCTGGACGGCAAAGTCGCCTATGTCACCGGAGGAGGCCAGGGGATCGGCCGAGCCTTTTGCCATGCGCTGGGGGAAGCAGGGGCGAAAGTAGCTGTGGCGGACCTGGTGCTTGCCAAAGCAGAGGCAGTAGCATGTGAGCTGAGGCTCAAAGGTATGAAACACAGATAGCAACAGGAGAATATCTTCTTTTTGTGCTGAAGTTCCAGCCTCAGTCCTTGGCGTCTCCAGTGGTGCAGCTAAGGCTGGGTTGGGGGCATGGTCCCTATCCTATGGTCCCTAGCCAATAGCACCCAGAAACAGCAGGTTTGGCTGGTGCCTTCATTATATACCTTTAGGCACCAGGTGAAAATATTCCTCTTCACCCAGGCCTTTGGCTGATTGACATCCAATGGCCTTTTAAATGTGTTGTGGGAGGGGGAATTATTGGTTTGTTTATACTGTAATTTTATCTTGCAAACCCTCCTGGAATCTGCGGGTGAAGGGCAGTGCACAAATTTAATAAAAAGCAGGGGCCCAGCTATGTAATTGGGTATATATGCTCACTTTAATATATTTTTCCTGTTAAAAATATGGATCATCCTTTCCTTGGAATAGTGCCTATTCCAAGCAAGTACGTTCTTAGCACCAGGACAGTAGAAACAAAACTCTACAGTGCTATGATTGAAGCAAGCTTAAAATGTGAAACAACACATGTTCAGAGTAATTTTTTAAAAAAGAAACAAACAGGCTTGTCTTTTGTTGCTGTAGTTGTTCTAACACAGGGTTTCCCAAACTTGGGTCTCCAGCTGTTTTGGGACTACAATTCCCATCACTCCTGACCACTGGTCCTGCTAGCTAGGGATGATGGGATTTGTAGTCCAAAAAACAGCTGGAGACCCAAGTTTGGGAAACCCTGTTCTAATGTATCTGGACATCTAGAAGTAGTTGTAAATAATAATAAATAATAATTTTTATTTATATCCCGCCCTCCCCAGCCGAAGCCGGGCTCAGGGCGGCTAACAACAATAAAACAGTACAAAAGTACAGCATAAACAACATTCTAAAATCATTCATTAGAAAAATTAATTAATTCAAGCCACTGGCAACCATTGGGCCAGACCTCCGCGAAGATTGCCGAGGGAGGGAGTCAGGCTGTGCCCTGGCCAAAGGCCTGGTGGAACAGCTCTGTCTTGCAGGCCCTGCGGAAAGATGTCAAGTCCCGCAGGGCCCTGGTCTCTTGTGACAGAGTGTTCCACCAGATCGGAGCCACAGCCGAAAAAGCCCTGGCTCTAGTTGAGGCCAGCCTAACCTCTCTGTGGCCTGGGACCTTCAAGATGTTTTTATTTGAAGACCGTAAGTTTCTCTGTGGGGCATACCAGGAGAGGCGGTCCTGTAGGTACGAGGGTCCTAGGCCATATAGGGCTTTAAAGGTTAAAACCAGCACCTTAAACCTGATCCTGTACTCCACCGGGAGCCAGTGCAGCTGGTATAGCACTGGGTGAATGTGATCTCGCAGCGAAGACCTCGTAAGGAGTCTCGCTGCAGCATTCTGCACCCGCTGGAGTTTCTGGGTCAGTCTCAAGGGCAGCCCCACGTAGAGCGAGTTACAATAATCCAGTCTGGAGGTGACCGTCGCGTGGATCACAGTGGCTAGGTCAGGGCGAGAGAGGTAAGGAGCCAACTGCTTAGCTTGGCGGAGATGGAAACATGCCGCCATTGTTATAGCTGCAATCTGCGCCTCCATGGAAAGGGAGGTGTCGAAGATTACACCCAAACTCTTGGTATGGTAGGATTACACCCAAACTCTTGGTAAGCATGGTAGGATTACACCCAAACTCTTGGTAGGATTACACCCAAACTCTTGGTAAGCATGGTAGGAGGAAGGAAATGCTGTGTGTTTCACAACTGAAGGGCCACCCAAAGAGCAGGAGCAGAAGACAATTAAATCCAGGGTCTAAATTTACCCAGTTGCACACTAGGCATCTCCAGACAGAGATCTGTGCCTGAAGCCCTGGACAACTGCTGCCAGTCAGTGTTAATTAAACTGAGCTAGATAGAGCATTCCTCTATACTGTCTTCTATGCCCCCAATGTTCTGGACACCATTCAGAACAATTATGCACTTTATTTAAATTTTACTTTTCTACTCTATTCTTTATCAAAGGAGCTCTGGCTAGCATACATTGCTCCCCGCTATTTTGTTCTCAAAACAGCCCTGCGAGGGAGAATAGCATATGAAACAGCGAGTGCCAAAAGTCACTGACCCAAATCCAACGCAGCATCTTTTACACAACTCTGACTTTTTAGCGTGTCCCTGGACATCAACATTTGCCGTCAGCGCTGGTTCCTGTAAATGCAATTGTATGGACCTTGTGCAACCCAGCAAGGCAAAGGCAGCCCAGCAGGCATTGCTTGCCTTGACAAACCTCTCATTGTCTTTGGCTAGAACATTTGTTAGCACAGACCAGCAATTGCCAGTAACATCCTTAGTCTGGGATGCAACGATTCTGCTCTTGCCGTCTGCCGCCTCGAGCTTTCCCGGTGTCATTTGGCCAGTTTACATATTTCAGTTCCCAAGCATGGCTGTTGTACAAAGGCGTTGCATATGTTTCTTCTTAGAACAGCAATGGAAAGGTCAGAGATGGGATGTTCACAAGTGGGACACTGCAACAAAATGTTGCAGCACAGAGGGTTGCCGGTCAGCGTGCCAGCCACTCCAGTCAAATCCATTCCGTTTCCCCAACTTCCTTTTGCTCTCTCCAACAGCTAGTCGATATATTGTGGCCACTGAGATTGTTCAGTCCTCATTGGGCTTTTTTTTTTTTTTGGCTTTATCATACCCTCAGTTACAGGTTTTTATCCCATAGATTTTCTGTCCTGCTGCAAACAGTCAGGTTTCTCTAAGGCTACATAAAGCGATGGCACTCACCTTGCAGGTGAGAGACTGGGGCTGGCGGGTGAATCCCTACATTTGGGCGGGTGTGTGTGACCTGCGGCTTAAGAGATATTCCATCCAAGGGGATTGTTTTGAACAATAAAGCAAGTTCTCTAAAGCTACTGCCTCAACTCTTTGTTGGTAAACAAGGACTAACTTAGCTTAGCCGGATCCTTGTTGCCTAGCAGAGATGATTCAACCAGGAAAGCAAATTACCCTATATAGAATTCTTCATTGGGGTACTTGAAGGAAAAATAACATACAATGAGGCATGACTGACGGGAACAGAGGAGAGCAATCTTTTGTTAACCGGTTCTATATAATACACATCAATCAGCCAGCAAAAGAAGGTGTTCCATACAATAAATCATGTGTCAGCTGTGGCATTTAAGATTTTTCCCTAACAAAGTGGAGCCAAACAGCAGCTATTGCTCTCCCTGCTCTTTATGCTACCAGAGAACACATCCACTGCATAGCCACAACAAATTAGGGCCAGTTCTGATCAAACGCCGTCCAGGGCTCTTTATTACCTTCATGTGCAAATTGTTACGGGCGCATCGCACATGGTAAAATGGTTGCCGGATCAAAAATGCTGGCTCAGCTCCACTAGGGAGGCATTAATAAATCAGGTTGCTTCCATGGGATCCAGACCTGACAACTCTCTCATACTGAGAGGACACCTGATAGTAAGAGAGAGCCTCTGGCTTTGAAATTCAATCCGACCTTGCCTCTCTTCCCACACCCCTAGCCCAGTCAACACCATCTTCATTCAGGCTTTAAAAGCAATGTCATTAAAGCCATCTCCCCAATAATTTGCTTGCTCATGAAAATGAGCACCTGAGAAGCTGCACTGTTGGGTGAAGGCAGACATTTGTGCAAGACTTGAGCTCCTTTGCAAGGAAAACTCTGCAAGAAGACCTTGACGAACCTGAGCTCCTTTGCTCCCATAGCTAGTGAAAGAGCATTGCTTGACAGCTATCCCAGGGTTAGTCCTTGACTCCTCCAGTTAAGTCAGGCATCCTCAACCTGCGGCCCTCCAGATGTTTTGGCCTACAACTCCCATGATCCCTAGCTAACAGGACCAGTGGTCAGGGATGATGGGAATTGTAGTCCAAAACATCTGGAGGGCCGAGGTTGAGGAAGCCTGACCTAGAGAGCTGCTGCCAAACGGAGTTGGAAAGGATTGTGCCAGATGGACCAGCAGTTGAACTTGGTTTAAATTTGGTTTCAAATACAGTGGTACCTCAGATTAAGTACTTAATTCATTCTGGAGGTCCTTTCTTAACCTGAAACTGTTCTTAACCTGAAGCACCACTTTAGCTAATGGGGTCTCCTGCTGCTGCCGTGCCGCCGGAGCACGATTTCTGTTCTCATCCTGAAGCAAAGTTCTTAACCCGAGGTACTATTTCTGGGTTAGTGGAGTTTGTAACCTGAAGCATATGTAACCTGAGGTACCACTGTACTTAAATGTCTTCAGATGAAATCAATACAAGTGAATAAGGATTTAGGACAGCAATCTGATGCAGACTTACTTGGGAGTCAGCCCCATTCAATTCAGCAGGGCTTACTTCAGAGAAGACATAGAGAGGATGGTTATTCTTCCCTATAACAAGGCAAAAACTTGTTTTCCCGTTCCAGTGGGTCCATACCTTCTCTCTTTGCCTTGTGGGGTAGATTGGCTTTGGGAAACATGTAATATAATATTACGAAGATCCTTCAAAAAGTGCACTTCTCCAAATTCTGCAGAGCAAATCTGCAGCCAAATAATGCTTATATTAGGGTAAAGTGCGGATAAAAATGTGCATCTAGTAAAAACAACAAACATGCATTATAGCAGTAGGGAATTTGCTTTCCAAAAAGATGTATATTAGGCAAAGCTGTATACAAAAATGCATATATTAGGAGAAACATACTCGAAAGCAGTTATGGATTTCCTTGAGGGGGAAAGTATATATATTCACAAACAGATGTGGAAATGTGAGAATTGAAGGGGCAAAATGAGAAACTGAGTGAAACCAAAACTGACAGTTTTTTCCACCTTAATCTAGAGGCCAACATAATGATAAATATATTGGAAAATGGTCCTATACAAGATGTTTCAATACAATATTCAATTTAGCTTTGAGGGTGTGGTTGTTGTTACATTATAATTATGTTTACATTTTATTTATTTAATCAGTTACACTTTCAATACTATTGCTCTGTACCTGTGTTTTCTTTCTCTTTCTCTTTCCCATTCATCCCCACTCTTTCCTTTTTTCTAACTCTCTGTAGAGATTTGTTTCATGTAGGAATATGAGAATAATAATAATAATAATAATAATAATAATAATAATAATAATAATTTTATTATCATTATCAAAATGTGAGCATTTCACCCTTCTAAGTCCTGCTTTAATTTAACTGGCTCAATGTTGAAATGTGTTCTGCTTGGCCATTGGATCAACTGCCCAGGCCTGTGTCGATCAGGAAGCCAGGAAACCTGGGCTTCCCAATCTCTTAAAATTCTGGAGCAGCTATATGCTTGTTACAGTTCGATAAGAATGAGCTAGTTTAATGATCTCAGAGCCCGACTTAGCTGGCTGACCCTAGAATGGGCACAATATGCAACCAGCAAAATTATGATCAACTATAGGGCACTTTTGAGATGCACTTTTAAAATCCTTACCTAATTTCGTTCTTGCAACTACCTTGTGGGGCCCATTTTTCACAGGGGTCAATCGTAGATGATAAAGAGAAGGGTTTGAGCATGACCGACAGGTGAGTAAGTAGCTCAGCCAGGATTTGACTGTGGATTCGGCAAGCAGTTAATGCCCCAATACAACATTACCTCAATAAATCATGGTGGGGTCTGTGTTTGGCGGCAACTGTACCCAACCATATTCATAGTGGTTAGGTGCATTTACATGTACCTGGAAGTGAAATAAAGCAAATTCCTTGGGAAAGTAGCTGTCTTCTTTGTTTACTGTCAGAAAAGGGGCGTGGGAGGGACAGGGGAGATCCGGTTCACATGTAAATATGGACCTACAAAATGCACAAACCAAAACACAGCCATTCTTTGACATTCACACTTCTCTGAATTTTGCAGTGCAGAAATAGAGGGAGGCTGAAACCGTCAGATTCCACCATCCCCAATCACGCAAAAGGCATTTTCCAGACTGAGCCTCCAAAAAGCAGCATAGCATGAGCAGAGAGCAGCAACTGCCAAATGTAATTCCTGGCTGAAGGGTGGGCCAATTAATCTGACCCTTGTCCAACTACGTTGCAAAAGTACCCTAAGAAAAAGTAAAGGTCACTTCCCACATTGCAGTTTTCAAGACATAAGGGAAGTTCAGGGCTCCAACCTTGTTTCTAATAAATTGAAATAAGTGCAAATGGACAATCTGAATGGCATTCCCTAAACTTCTTCCCTCGAACACAGAACCTGAAAGCTGTGAGTCTCCTTCTGGAATCGCAGTGTCCATAGCGCTGGTTCCTGAGGCAGCTGTGGGTACTGGCATTCTGAGATATATTTGCAGCCAAGAGACAACCCCCCCCCCCGCACCAAATACAGTGAATTGCATTCTAAAATTGAAGAGGGGTGAGAAGGAGACGCAAATAAAGATTTCAACAACCGACAGCAGCTTCTCAAACGTTTCAGCAGAAGAGTTGCAGTTGAAGTCCTTTGCCAGTAGATGGCAGGGTGTTCAAAGCTTCGGCCAAAATCCAAAAGCCTTGCAAGGGGTTGATTGTGCTTAGCCCTTTTGAAATGTTACTTTTTAAAAAACCACATACAGTGGTACCTCAGGTTACAAATGCTTGAGGTTACAGACTCCACTAACTCAGAAATAGTACCTTGGGTTAAGAACTTTGCTTCAGGATGAGAACAGAAATCGCACGGCGGCAGCGGGAGGCCCCATTAGCTAAAATGGTACCTCAGGTTAAGAACAGTTTCAGGTTAAGAACAGACCTCCAGAATGAATTAAGTTCTTAACCCGAGGTACCAGTGTAGACAGTTGAAAATGGTTTTGCTTCTTTGAAAATTATGCATCTGCAAATTATTACCACTACTGTATTAATTGCAATGACACACAGTAATTAAGAGGGTTGAAAGAGCAAACCAATGACGACATCAACAAAATCGCAAGCAAGTCAGATGTTTTCTGTTTGTTTTGCTTCTTCATTTAGGGATAAAAAGCATTGCTATAGCAGCAGACGTAAGCAGACCGGAAGATGTGCAGAGGATGCTTGCTACGATCGTAGATAAGTGGGGCACAGTCCATATTGCATGTAACAATGCAGGGATCAACATGAATTCACCAAGTGAAGCTACCTCCCTGGAAGAATGGGACAAAACTTTCAATGTGAATTTGCGAGGCTTGTTTTTGTGTTGCCAGGTGAGTATTGGACCCTGCAATGCTTTACATAAAACATGTTCCCCATTTTTAAGCGTTCAAAACAATATTTATCAGATATTTGCTAGCACTATCCTGACTACTTTACAAGGTTCTAGCAATAATAATTTGCCGAAACTATATTTACTAAGGTGTTTCTTGATGGAAGTTACGGTATATCTTGTAATTGAGTTGCCCGGATCTCAATTTTTCTTTGTGCACAATTGACATGTGAGCCCCCCCCTCTCTCTCTCACACACACACGGCCATCTGCTTTGCAGGGCTATAATGCTGTTTCCATGGGTGATCCTTGGTGGAATGTTTCTGTGATTTGTGTTCTGAAACTTCCCCTCAATAGCAACTGCTTATCTTTCCACTATACACTACTTTCCTGATCTGCAGATGTGCAGGCAATTTTTATACCTGTCTGTGCAGGAAGTGTGCAAAAGTGCCCAAGAGAAACATCACCACCCATTAATTATCAGGTTTCTCAATGGGCACAATGGATGGTTGTGCTATTTTTTAGGGGTTTAATTAAAAAACAACACACATTTTTTTTTAGTAATTAATTTATTTGATTTGTTACATGCCCTAAGGTCTCAGGGTAGTTTAAAACAATTTTTAAAATAACAATAAAAACTGTTTATAACAAATTACAGTCACGGGAATAGGGCAGGTCATAAAAATAGGCTCCTCAAGTGTCAAAGGCTAGGGAAAGGAGGAAAGAGAGATCTTGCACAAGTCTGATATTTAGCTGGATTGAAATTCTGATAAAATAGGTCTTGCACAAGACCTCTGACTTAATTTTTTTTTAAAGGTCCTGATGTATGTACCACAACTATAGGCTGTTACCTTGTATTAACACAAGGATAGCTTAAGTTGGTTAGAGCATGGTACTGATAACATCAAGGTTGCAAGGTTGCCCCACATAAGGGACAGCTCTCATGTGCCCTTCATCCTCTCCAGATTCGCTCTGGAGGGTTGCAGTAACCCCCAGAACAGATTTATAGGATGATTGAGGGAGAGGGAGGGAAAGTAGATTCTGTTGTACAGCCAGAAATCTGTGAGCTGACAGAATTGGATATTGACCACAATATGCAACATAGTCTCTCTCAATGTGCTGAGATTTTGATAGAATAGCTCCTCCTGTCTGAGTGGTTGAAACTCTGAAATGCCTTCGGTATGTGGCAATTGGTGGAGGGAGGCATGCTTGCATCATTTGGGTCACTAAAAACAAAATGGCTGGCTGTGCTCAGGTGAGGCACAAGCAAAAATACGGATGTGACTATAGAGACCACTCACCAAAATGTCACCACCCAAAAACTGCTCTACCCAAAAACTTACTTGCCAGTTTTTCAAAGAGGAACTCTAGATTAAATGTTAAACAAATAAAAAAAATCAGGCTGGCATTGTGATTATGATGTCATGTGGACAATGCAAGAAAGGTGCCGATTCCACAATAAACTTCCGTCTGTAATCGCCTCTTGTTAGCATTCAGTAATATCACAATCATCTTATTGGATCAGACCAGCCACCTAGGCATCACCATATTCTATCCACTAGAGCAGAAGCGTACAGAAGCACAGACCAGTAACAGAACATCCCACTGCTTTGGCTCATCTTCTGGGGGTTTTAAGATCTACAGTCCAAGCTACAAACATAGAAAGCAAGGATTAGACATGTAAGGAATTGCCATGGAACTCTCATTCAGAGAAAACATTCAATGAAGAGTGGGTGATAAACACTTCTAATATGTTAATTAAATTAAATTAAATTATGGCTTTTCTTGATTTCTCTTTCCCAAATCCATGAGAATATCAAATTCAATATAGCAAAATATAAAACTAAGCATCAGTGGCAGCAATGTAGACAATCATTTTAGCACAATTTAAAAGAACAGCCAAACATCAATATCAGAACTCAAAAACTCTCCCTTTAGGGCCAGTTCTTTTGAAAGGCTTTAATTATAAAAGGCAGACTTAAAGAGGTGTATTTTATACATCCATTTAACACTTGGGAATGAGACCATTCGGAGCTCAATGAGAAGGAGTTCTACAATCTGTCCCCTCCTCCCGAAAAGAGGGGGGGTGGCCCTTCAAATCATGGGGCCTACAAATATTTAGGGTTTTTAAAGTCAAAACCAGCAAGCTGAATTGGGCTTGCAACCAGTGCAATGGATACAGATGTGTGTTGTTTTTTTTTGGGGGGGGGTGCTTCATTCATCTTGCATTTACTAATGATACAAAAACTCAAGCTAATATTTTCAGCATCAGCTCTAAGGACTTAAAGCAGAGACTCCAAATTTGCTGACGGCTTTTGGGAGACGCACTTTGGGAGTGCACTAAAATGGCTACGTAAACTTTCCCGCATTAACCATTTCCCACATATCAAGTTTTTACATCAAGCACTTTAGAGAAGGGGAAAATTAGTTAGCACATAAACTCTTCTGAAAAGTGAGTACTAATTTATTATCATGTCATTATTAGCGGAATCACAAAAGGGGTCACTGGTCTTTCCTTTAATTTCTATCACAGGCTGCAGGCCGCATTATGCTGAATCAAGGATATGGGAAGATAATTAACACAGCATCTATGGCAAGTTTAATAGGTGAGTGATGAGAGCTAACAGTTGTGCTTCAGAATCCATATTTTAATTACTGCCGATGCTATTTGAATCAATTAAACCTGTATTGCGCAGAAGTAAATCACTGACATTTTGTATTAGGGAAAATGTACTACAAAAATTTTATTGATATCATTTTTCAACATTTATCTGTCCTCTCCATTTTAGAGCACTTATTACTCCTATAAGGAGGTGGGGTTAAAGCCCTCTGAAGCTGACACATTTTATTATGTAAGAAAGGTGTTGGGTGTAATCTACATTCACCCTCAGAGTGAAAGGCGTGTTAATCCTTTCGCCGTTTATATACAGGACTGGAACTCAAGTCCCTTGTCTTGGTTGGTGGATGTTTCCACCTCATAATGCATACCCAGGAAGCTCACAGCCAATCTACCCATTATGCAGAATGATGTGGTAAATGGTAGGATTCTGAACTGTAGCACTTGAGGCTGCAGGTAGGATAGGTATAGATGTTGTTTTTAATAAAAAAAAGTTATCCCATGTGAGAAGCTTCCTGCAAGAGTATGGAATGAGCATAACAGTGTAGAGTTCTGCCTAATGTGCTGTTTTCATGGCACTTGGAGAGTTTTTATGCAGTATAAGAAGTGAAGTCATACAAGCATGGGGTTATTGTTTTGTTTTGTTTCAACTACCTCTTTTGTGCTTCTATCCTGTCTTTTTATCTTGTGAATCGCCTCGAGAACTTGAGGGTAGTATATAAATTAAATACATAATACACTCATACCTCAGAAGTCAAACGGAATCTGTTCTGGAAGTCCATTCAACTTCAAAAACATTCAGAAACCAAGGTGCGGCTTCCGATTGGCTGCAGGAAGCTCCTGCAGCCAATTGGAACCCGCTTCAGATGTTTGGGTTCCAAAGAATGTTCGCAAACCGGAACACTCACTTCCGGGTTTGCAGCGTTTGGGAGCCAAAACATTCGACTAGCAAGGCGTTCATCAACCAAGGTACGACTGTAATAATAATAATAATAATAATAATAATAATAATAATAATAATTACTTTAACACCCACCTTAAAGCTGACATGGTGGAATCCATAGTTCTACCACTGCATTCTATATAGTGGGGAGATAAGCCCCGAAATACTGCAGGTGGAGAGCCACCTTGTACAGTGGTACCTCTGGTTACATACTCTTCAGGTTACATACTCTTCAGGTTACACACTCTGCTAACCCAGAAATAGTGTTTCAGGTTAAGAACTTTGCTTCAGGACGAGAACAGAAATCGGGCTCTGGTGGCGCGGTGGCAGCAGGAGGCCCCATTAGCTAAAGTGATGCTTCAGGTTAAGAACAGTTTCAGGTTAAGAACAGACCTCCGGAACGAATTAAGTACTTAACCCGAGGTACCACTGTATATGGAAATTGAGCTCTGACTGGTCTCCAGCATCGTCCTTTGAATTGCTCAGACAATTTGATACATCCTTAGACCAGCTCCTGGTTCCAGAAGGAGAAGAGCCGTGGTTCAGTGACAGGACATTTTGCATTCAGTAGGTACCAGGTTCGATCCCCGACATCCCCAGGCAAGGCTGGGACTATCCCCTGCCTGAAACCCAGGAGAGTCTCTGCCAATCAATGTGGACAATATTGAGCTAGATGGACCCAGTGGTCTGACTCATCATACGGCAGCCTCCTGCCTTATTCCAGGTGTGACGTGTGCAGGCTGTGCATCAGAGCTACCTCAGCTTTAGCTCTTAGAGCCAAATTGGGCCACACTTGCCTCTGCTGATTCACACCCATGTCTGTACCCACCCTCTGCCTTGTCTATCCAGGCCCATTTGGCCTTGGAAGATGGTCTTTGTTTGTTATTGGCAATGACCTTTCCGCTCCCAGCCTTGGGCCCATGCCTGAGAGTGTACCCTAGTGTGCCAGCTGGGCTCTCTTGCCTCTGCTCTAATACCAATTGTTCTATTTGATGCTTCTTGCCAACAGGTGTCTCCCCACTTGTGCTGTTGTATCAGCCACGCCGTCAAGGAGCCAATAAACTATTGCAACATATGGAACGAAATCCCAACTGCAGAGCTAATCTGGAAGGCAGTTACATGCTGGTGAACTGAGGCCCATGTAACAAAAATTGATCAATTACACAAATTAAGCGTAGCCCTTTAGGAATTTGTTTTATTGGTCTGGACATCTGTTGCAGGATTGTCCAAATCCAAAAATCAAATGGTGCCTGTGGGCTGCCAAGTTAGGCAAAAAAAAGAGAGAGAGAGAGAGAGAAATCCAGTAGCTATAGAAGTGCAACTGAAAAGCTCGATATTAATATCATGTCCATCTGCTGAATGTTACATAAATATGCAGTCTTTTTATTTTCCTTGGGAATAACATTTATTTTTACTGTGCCCAGTTTGACATTCTATGACATTCTGTTCAGTTTATTACTTAGTAACTTTAACTGTTTCTTCAGGGGGGAAAATGCATTTATAATGTTGCTGTTAATTTTTTTTCCAAGTGCTTTTACCAGCTGTTTCTCTTACGGTTTTTAATACCAGAGATGTCGCTCTTGCCCAAGTGGAAGGCATTCTCTGCAAACAAAAAAATAAGATTATTTTTTTTAATAAGGGGAGGAAAATACTGGTCTCAGTTTAGGACAATAACAAGCCCTGTAGGGATTAAAGTAAAAAAATAAATAAATGCATTCCCTGTATTGTTTATTGTTCAGTGGTAATGTACAATAAACGGTGATCTCTCCAATACCTGACCCAGAACACGTGATGGAAAGCGAAGGCTGAGGTCTACAGTGCACCAGATTTGAATATGGCTTTTGTAGAAGTCCTATTTGAATTAATGGGATTGTGATAGTTAGGGCTGGTTTCCATGCCACCTGTAATGAGTATGGGGTTGCTCGTGCGTAAGCTGCCACCTCTCCAGGCTAAATTGCCTTGTTAACCTTTCTGTCTGGACAGCCCTTCTCTTTGTGGCTGCCTCAGTCGCTAGCAGAATCCGTCAGTGGGCGTTTCTTAAACCTTTTCCAACATAAAAGTTGTTTGACGCCCAGTCTCCTCCTACTCTCCCTGCGCGGAAGTCTTCTGCGCAGGGAGGGCGTGGGTAGCGGAGGACCTGTGCTCTCCCCGCCGGTGTCCAGTGAAGAGTCCTGGAGCCCTCTCGCCGATTCCCCCATCTGCCCCCCTTTATCCCTGGTGTTGCGCTGATTTGCTTCCCCCTCTGCTGAGCTGCCTCTCTCCCTGCTGGGCCCTTCTCCAGCTTCATTTGAGAGCCTTCCCTCCGCCTCTAGCTCCGATGTCAGTTCCCTGACACCACCTTTCAGCCAAAAAGGTTCCCAAGGCAGTTCACAAAGGTTCACACAAGAGAATAAAATTCAAATAGGGAAAATATACTCTGCAAAAGTTTAAGTCAACAAAATGCAAACCTTTTTAATGTATTTTTTTAAAAAAAGACTAAAGTCTAAATAAATCCATGGTCCTGGCAAAGGCCAGTCCTCACAAACATGTCAGAGAGAGCAGGAGTAAATCCTTATTGAGCAGTTCCTCCTTGTAAGCGTCTCAGGAAGAGGGTAGGGGCAGGGCAGGTATAAAACATGACCCCTTGATGGTCTAGCACAGTCTCTTCCCTGCACCAATGTCTGCAGGAATGAAGATTGCACAGCAGCAATGCTCAATGGCCTGTGCTGCATGATGCATGTGGCTTGCAGTTAGGTTATACCAATGGCTGAAAATGCCCTGTGAATATAGATTACAAAATGGCCATTTAACACGTTGGTGATTTGGACACCATTGGACTGGTATAAGTAAGTGTTCCCTAAGTAAGGAGGAAAAGAATCGAGGATGAGCTTTCCTTATCAAATGACTGACGAACAGTAGGCCTGGTGATTTAGACTAGAGAGGCCAGACATAATCATGATGCTGACCGCATTACTCCAGCGTTGATATTCCTCATTCTCCTCAAAGGCTCATTCATTTCTCAGGTTACAGAGTCTGTATGTGGATTGCCCTTTTGGATTTTGGGCTAGCCATGTTAAAGGCTGCTCACAGAAGACCATTAATTAATTAAATGTCGTTCGCAGAATGTCAAATTGGGCACAGCGATGGTTCTGAGTCAGACCATTGATACATGTAGACCAGTACAGTCTTTCCCTAATTGGCAGCAATTCACTGGCTCCGTCTCAAACATAATAATACCACTGGACTTGTTTTCTCCCAGTGATCACCTGATATATAAGGTGAGCATTATGACCTCTGAATTGTTCACCTGCATAGATTTTAACCTGAGCCAGAGAAGAATTCTCAGCTGGCTCTGATGGGAGCTCTACTCCCCAACATCATCTGAAGGGCACTGTGTTGGCTACTAACTAGATTACTGAATAGCTTATGGGAAGTTTGGAAAGGGAGAGAAGGAAAAGAAACAGTCTTTGGGAGCTGATTGCTAGAGATGGGAAAGTCAATGCATCTAGAAATGAATGCATAATGAATGAGCAGCATAAGAGTGTTATTCTTTAGGATATCCTGGTGTGAAATTCAGTGGCAGGACTACAAAACCATTACATTTGGGTTATAAAGGCGCGAGAGATCGTGTAATATGTTTATTTACAAATATACAAGCAAAGCCTATTGGAAGCAAACTGACTCCTGAACACAAACAGTACGAACGCTGGTTTTACACCAGATTCCTCAAGGAAGCAGTGGCACCCAGTATACTTCGGTTTTTAGCCAGAGCCTTCTAAAAAGGCTTAGCATTCTATCTCTGAGTCTCTCTAGGTGAAAGGTGTGGATTTCCAAAGCCATAAGGGAGAGAGTCACTAAGGACTTGCTAGTCAAGTCAAAGGCATCTGTAAAGTAGAAGATCTCACAAACATTTTAGACTCCATTCTCTGAAAAGGAATCACGTTTAGACATTCACAATGTTTAAACATTCCGTGTCAGGCCAGCATAAATAGCTTCTCGCTCTTATTATGAGAGCAGCCTAGAAACGCTTCATGATGCGTTGAGATCCATTGACCTAAAGAGAACTG